ATGGAATAATGAGCTTTCTAAATTTGTAATTTTAGATGATCAAAACCTATCCTGAAAAGTAGAATGGAAATGGATATAATGTAATAAAGAATAATTGTTCTCCAAAGATGATACACTTGTATTTATGAGTGACCATAATGGATGTTAGTTAACTCTAATTAAAATAGAGATTGTGAAGGGAATGGTGTTGAGTCTATTACTCTATTCTGAAGATGTACATATAATAATCAAATCTGTTATTCAAATAGTTGAATGAGTTTTTTCTTGCTTATAAAAATAAGTGTTCAGTTGACTGCACACAGCTGGAAGGGATAATGATAAATAATGAAAAATGACTAGTGTCTGGTACTTCTATAAGATGATATGTCAACATTTGTATTTACTTATTATCCTTAGATTTGCAGATATGATTAGATTGTACTCAATCTCTGTTTTGATTCTTTTATGCTTTAGTTCCTTTGTTCCCTGGTGGGATGCATATCTGAAGCGATTGGGTGAAGTAGACATGTATGTGTGTGTGTATATATATATGGTTTTTTTGCTGGTGCAATGAAAACTTAAAGTTTTGTATCTTTTACCTTTGGCAATATTATCTTGACAGATAGTATGTTTTTTTCCAAAATTTTGTATGGTATTTGATTTGTCGATTGAATTATAGGTGTCTGGAAGCATGCTAAGAGTGAAGGGCATGATGATTATGGACTTCTTGTCAGCGAGAAGGCGAGGAAATATGCTATTGTGAAAGAAGTTGGTGAGCCTGTGATTCTTAAGGATGAATCAGTCGTTCTTCAGTTTGAGACTCGCCTTCAGGACGGCCTTGAGTGTGGTGGTGCATATCTAAAATATCTTCGACCACAAGAGGCTGGATGGAAACCTAAGGAGTTTGACAATGAATCTCCTTATTCTATCATGTTTGGGCCTGACAAATGTGGGGCCACAAACAAGGTGCACTTCATTTTCAAGCATAAGAATCCCAAGACTGGGGAGTATGTTGAACACCATCTCAAGTTCCCCCCATCTGTCCCAGCTGACAAGCTATCTCATGTGTACACTGCTATTTTGAAGCCTGACAATGAGTTGCAAATTTTGATTGATGGGGAAGAGAAGAAAAAGGCAAATTTCTTATCTTCTGAGGATTTTGAGCCTGCTCTTATCCCAACGAAGACAATCCCAGATCCTGAGGATAAGAAACCTGAGGACTGGGATGAAAGAGCAAAAATTCCAGACCCAACTGCAACAAAACCAGAAGACTGGGATGAGGATGCACCCTTGGAAATTGTTGATGAAGAAGCTGAGAAACCTGAAGGTTGGTTAGATGATGAACCCGAGGAGATAGATGACCCAGATGCAACAAAGCCAGAAGATTGGGATGACGAGGAGGATGGTGAATGGGAAGCCCCCAAGGTTGATAACCCAAAGTGTGAAGCAGCCCCTGGTTGTGGTGAGTGGAAGAGGCCAACGAAGAAGAATCCAGCTTATAAGGGAAAATGGCATGCCCCCCTAATTGATAACCCCAATTATAAGGGTATCTGGAAGCCCCAGGAGATCCCAAACCCTGACTACTTTGAACTTGAAAAACCAAATTTTGAGCCTATTGCTGCTATTGGTATTGAAATTTGGACAATGCAAGATGGCATATTGTTTGACAACATTTTGATAGCTAAAGACGACAAGATTGCATCGTCTTATCGGGAGACTACATGGAAACCCAAGTTTACCATTGAGAAAGAGAAACAGAAGGAAGAAGAATTGGAAACTGGTCCAGCTGATCTTGCAGGCTTCCAGGTAATCTCTTTTGCAGTTCCTTTCCCTCTCTTCCCTTCTCTCTATGGGCTTTTAACACCCACTTTCTCCTTTTTCTTATGCATGATTTTGCTGCTTGACTTTGCACAGAAGAAGGTATTTGATATCTTATACCAGATTGCTGACATTCCCTTCCTGAGTGCGTACAAGCTAAAAATACTTGTAAGTAACCAAACTTATGTCTTCTATTGTAGTAACCTTACTATCCGTTGTGTTTCACTTATTATTGCCTGAACTTCTATGGTTCTCTGCAGGATGTCATTGAAAAGGGTGAGAAGCAACCAAATCTGACTATTGGAATTCTAGTAGCCATTGTGGTTGTCTTCTTGTCAATTTTCTTGAGGATCATATTTGGTGGCAAGAAGCCGGTCAGTAGTGAAACTCTTATCTTCCCCAATAAACTTCAGAGCACTCTTTCTTGTAGTTTTTGTTTTAGAATGCATGTTCATCTGTGGGCCACATATCTTGTTTTACAGGCAAGAGTGGAGAAGACAAAGAAGGAACCTGCAGAAACTTCCACTAACCAAGAGGGAGAGAAGAATGAAGAAAACAAAGAGAAGGAGGAAACATCTGGTGCTCCACGCCGGAGGACAAGGCAAGAGAATTAAAATGGTTGAAAGGGAAGCCGAACAAGAATATCATTATCAGAGATAGATTTTGAGCTTTAGTTGGATACTAGATCAGATAGCACTTTGTTTCATTTTTCTCCTTCACCTCCTTTTGGAATAAGGAGTTGTAAACCAGATAGTCTGTTACGCCAGTGCTTGACATTTTGGAGACTTACTATGCCAAGCTAAATTGAGTTTGTACAATTATTTTTCTTTCGTTTAGTAATGGATTTTGCTTGCAATGCAAATATTGTGCCCAGTTGTTCAATCATGAAATTTTTTGTCCCTAATCTTTTTCCCAACATTAATCAATCCTATTGCCAATCAATTTTCAAGAATGTTTAGCAGTCTTCCTTAAAATATATTTTAAAACTTCTATAAAGAAGAGAAATAATATCAAACAATCTTCCTCTTGAAACGGCATGTACCCTGGTAATCCCTTTAATTTGAAACATGATGCTGAAAAGTGCAGGAATCTGGATTTTGAGTGTCTTCTCTTGAAACGCATCTCCCCTCTACTTTCAAAGCAGACCACGTATCTCTTGTATATGAATAATCTATTTAAAATGACACTCTTTAGGTATATAATCTATTTATTGAGTAATTTGCACAAACCCTCCTTAGGTATATTACAATGACACTCCATCCCATTCTCACTTCAATGTTTCTGAGCAATGTTAGATCCAAGCATGCCAAAATCAACCATTGATCGTCAAAGTGAGCCAAAATTCACCTCTTCACACTGATGTTATATTTTACAAGTGTTTCAATTTGCAATTCACAATTGTAATGGTGCCCATATTTTCCCACTATTGGATGTGTCCGCAATTTTATAACTGCATTGCAACCACGAGATTTGGAGCATTGTTCATCGTGTCTTATTCAAACATAACAACAATTAAACTTTAAGTGAAGTTAGTTATATACATCATAAATACTTTACCATAAATCATATTCATTTATCCCTATAATTCTGTTGTTGTTGAAACCCAAAACAATATAAAAAATGTAACATCAACAGTACTAACACACTAATAATAACAAAAAGTTAGTGACTTCGCTCCTGGCTAGGTCCAGAACCAGCAACAAGTTCTCATGTTTCAGAAATTGAAGTACCTTTCATGATCATTGACTTGGTAAAGCTCCGTGGTGTGGACATCAATATTGATGACAAGAGTGCTTGGATTCAAACAGGTGCAACAATTGGTGAAGTCTATTACAAAATATAGGAGAAAAGCGCGATGGGAGGTGCATATGGGTCCATGATGAGAAAATATGGTCTTGGTGCTGAATCTGATAAGTACTTGATGCAAGAATTATTGATGCCAATAGCAATATTCTTGATAAGGAAGCAATGAGGGAAGATCTATTTTTGGGCTATTAGAGGAGGTGTTTTGGAATCATTCTTTGTTGGAAGATAAAGCTTGTTCTTGTTCCTGAAGTTGTGACAGTTTTTACAGTTACAAAAAGCATAGAGCAAAATGCAACTAAGGTTCTTCATAGGTGAAGCACTGATGAAGTGCTTAATCATTGATGTCTGAGATTGTGTGTGCTTAATCTCAGCCTCGTTCATGTTACAAATAAGTTCATGTTCTCAGATTCAATAACTAATTGCACGTATAAATGTTTGATGATTTTCCTGCTTCCCTTCCATAACACACTGTGACTGTCCATCTTCTTAAGCAATGGCAAGGGTCTTAGTAATATGTTAGACACAGTACTAAGTTTACAAATACAGTATCAAATGTTTGTATTAGGAAAAAATCCTCATTCTTGTTATAACTTAGTTGGTGCTTTGAGTTCAAAAGCTCCAATAATGGAAAATAGGATATTCTTTCTCTTGCAGAAAGAACACCTGAGACAAGTGTTTTCGAGGAAAGGTGTAGGCACCAAATTTAATGATTCCACCAAATTATGTGAATTTTTATTCATCAAAACTGATAAAAGCAATGAATTAAACCAGAAAAGCATTGGGAGTTTTCACGAAACGACAATGCACTGGCACAACAGAATAGAAGTCCCACACTGGTTAAACTAGAAGTAGTAAGGTGGGGAAGCACTATAAAAAAGAAGCCCAGCAGTAAAAAAGCTCATACCTTTCTCGGCCAAAATTGTAGTATCTGTTTTTATTTGTTTAATATCTGATATGTTGGTCATGTTGCCTCAGTGTTGCACTAAAGTTTGGGCCTGGCACACCCTCCAGCACTAGTATTATAATTTTTATTATCAATTAAAAATATTGTAGTTACTTTTATATTTTAACTTTGTATGTTAACTAGTAATATTGTACCCTTCTGTGTCTTTTAATGGTTTGTTTGTTATGTGTAAATATAATTTTCCCTGTGTTCTGGACTTGAATGATGAAAGTCGCATTTGTGGAGATTAAATAGCGAAATGAGAAACTGAAGATAGGTGCCTTAAACTGATTTTAGAGTAATTCAGATTTATCACTATATCTCACACATGAATCATCTAAAATGCAGGTCCTTCTTATCAGTCATCTCAACAAATTATTGGTCAAAAGTTGGCATGTTCTTGTGTCTACATCAGCTAGAAAAGGTTAACAGCTACAAAAGTTGGCATCTAAAATGTCACGGAGTGCACAAAGCGAACTATTCTTTCGCCTTTTACTAAAGAATACCTTGTGTTTGGCACTTTAAGTGGCATATGCTTATTTTTGGAGGTTTCCTTCTTTAGAAGGGACCTATAACTCTAGTCTTTATATTTTTATCTATCTATTATGTTCTTATGTAATGGATTTTTGTTAAATTAAGTCTAATTAGATTTTCCAGTACTTTTTAGTTTCTTACCCCGTTTCTTATTTTTCATCTTTAGATTAAATTGTGTGTATATTTCTTTGAAGTACTGAAATTGTATACAAACTTCATTAGTGGGTTATCAATTCGTATGCAAAAGCAACTGGTTCATCTATTATATTTATTATCTTAGAAAAATGTGAGCTTAAGTTGCGCTTATAATAAATTTGATTGTAAATTAATGTTTAAGCACCCTGATTAATATTAAACACCTTGATTGATATTATACGAATCATGTACTTTATTCCAAAGATTATAATTATCGAATGAGCAAATGAATAGATTTTGATTACCCCTTTTAGAGACAAGAAATTCAAGACCTGGGAATAAGTCCCTAACTATGTTGCCACAGTCATTGGGCTTATTGGTATCTATAAATTTGTTTGAAGGTTTTTTAGCTTAGAGGTGTCAAAACGGGCTACCCTTGCGGGTTCGGGCTAGCCCGCATCGGGATCGGGCTAAACCGGACCGGGCTAAAAAGTCCGGATACAATTTATGTATATGAAAATGTAACCCAAACCCGCCTTAAGCGGGTTTCGGGTTGTGGCGGGCCGGCCCGCATAATATTAAAAAAGATTAAAATTTAACGTATTTAATATATATATATATATATAACATTTGATATTAATGCATAACTTTTTTAACACAATTGTTATACTCAATGCAACCAAACTTATAGATGTAATGTCATGTGTTTAAGTTAAGACGTGATGTCAAATCTACGTATATGATTCATAACATAACTCATTTATTAAACATATTATTGTTATTAGACACTCAATCTATAACACAATATAATTTGTAACTTCAATTCAATATAATAAATGGATACACTTACAAATAATATCACTTTGGTTCGTAGTAATGATAGTATAGACTCAAATTCAGAATGATTCTATGTGTCGAATTATAATCACCATCATAATAATTCTTTACTTTGTTATAGATATCTTGTATGTTCTTTACCAACATTTTCATTGTGAACTGTTATGTTAAATTTGGTTGTGTGAAATTCTCTATGGTAAACAATTAAGTTGTGATTCATTGTAAAAATTATTTTCTTTCTTATGTTTTTGTTGTAAAATAATTTTCACTTTAAGCTTATTACCAAGCCAATGTCTCAAAAAAGTTTTAAAATAAATAAAAACGGGTAGTCAGAGCCCTCCCGGGTAAGCCCGGCCCGAGCCCGGTTTTAATATAGCCCGAATTCACTAAAAAATGTCAAATATGATACCCAAGCCCTACAAAACTCCGGGTTGTGGCGAGCTGGCCCGCACAGGCCCGCCCATTTTGACAGCTTTATATTAGCTAATGAAGACAAATTAAACATGCACATTTGGGTTAGTATCCTACATTTTTGTGGAGCATTGATGAAGTGCTTAATCATTGATGTCTGACATTGTGTGTGCTTAATCCACCAAGGCAATGGGCTTGGGAGTGCACTACCCGGACCCACCCCGTTGCTTCACTTTTGGACCCAGACCAGCCCCAGACCCGTGCTAATACCCGCGGGTCCTTGGGTACTCAACGGATCCATGGGTACCCATAAATTCAAAATTATTAAAAATAATTTTAAGTAATTTATGCACTTATGTATTTTTTTACTCTGATCTTTATATGTTATTTAAATAATCAACAAGAGAAAAAATTATAAAACAAACATTAAAAATTCATTTAGTAAGAATTCTTAAATTAACATAACATTACATCATTCATATGAATTAACAACATAATATCATTGTTTAACAATATAACATTACAATTTAATAACATAATAATCACATTTATGAATTAACATGATATTATAATTATGGATTAATATGATATTATGATATAGATTAATATGATATTACAATTATGGATTAATATGATATTACAGTATAAATTAACATTATATAAATATATTTAGATTTAGGTAGAAATTGTGGGTCCGGGTATGCACGGGTCTGGGTACCTCATTACCCGGACCCAGACCCATCTAACAGCGGGTCATAAAATCGCGGGTCTCAATTACCCACAAGTCTAAAACATGTACCCAGACCAGACCCATTGTGGGTAATATTTGCGGGTACCCACGGATCTGGGTACCAATTGCCATCCCTTATCCCAGCCTCGTTCATGTTACAAATAAGTTAATGTTCACAGATTCAATTACTAATTGCATGTATAAATGTTTGATGATTTTCCCGTTTCCCTTCCATAACATACAGTGTGACTGTCCATCTTCTTAAGCAATGACAAGGGTCTTAGTATTATGTTAGACACGGTACTAAGTTTATAAATACAGTATCAAATGTTCGTATTAGAAAAAAGTCATCAATTTTGTTACAACTTAGTTGGTGTTTTAGAGTTCAAAAGCTCCAATAATGGAAAATAGGATATTCGTTCTCTAGCAAAAAGAACACCTGAGACAAGTGTTTTCGAGGAAAGGTGTAAACGAAGAACCAAAAAATTGCAAAATAGGCACACAAAGGACACAAATATAAGCACCAAACTTAATGATTCCTCCAAATAATGTGAATTTGTATTCATCAAAACTGATAAAAGCAATGAATAGTTTTCACGAAACAACAATGCAAATATTATTTGGTAAGGTTCTCGTATCAAACCATTCATGTGATTAAAGTCTTCAATGTGTAAAAGTTGTATAGAGAACAAAATGCATAGAGCATTATTACTAGTAGTCCCACACTGGTTAAACTAAGATGCAGTAAGGTGGAGAAGTACTATAAAATAGAAGCCCAGCATAAGTAAAACTCATACCTTTCTCGGCCTTTTGGCTAAGATCAAGTGTAGTATCTGTTCTTATCAGTTTAATATCTGATATGTGGGTTATTGGCCCACACGATATTAAATTACTTTTTTAAGGGGGAGAGACCATTTCAATGGCTTGCTATTGGGTCTTTCATGTGTCGCCTCAGCTTTGCACTTAATCTTTGGCCTGGCACACCCTCCAACAATAGTATTAAAATTTTTATTAATTAAAATATTGTAATAATCTCTTTGTATTTTAATCTTTTACATTATCTTTTAATAACAAGGATCACCTGTCTTAAATCATATCTTAAATTTTGTCCTAAATCATTCATATTTTAGCAAGGAAGATAAATGTTATTTTTTTTTTTTTCTATATGTCAATTTCTAATTGGCTTGGATTGTGACTGGAGATTTCCATTAATCTTTCAACACCCTAGTTTTGTCTTATAAATCTTTGTATTGATTTAATAGAATATTCCTTGTGTTCTGGATTACATACAAGTCTCATTTTTATAGATTAAAGTACGTAATGTAAAATTCATGCCTTAAAGCTGATTTCAGAGTAATTCAGAGTTATCATTTAAATTGCAAGTACATCCTATCAGTCATCTCAACAAATGATTGGTCAAAAGTCGCATGTTCTTGTGTCTACATCAGCTAGAAAAGGTTTAAACAGAACTTGGAAAACGAAGCTACAAACTTATCATTCAGTTTCGTGCTTTCAATAAAGGATACAAATTCACAGACATAGAAATACATTTGAATAAATTCACAGACATAGAAATACATTTGAATAAATTCACAGACATATAAATACATTTGAATAGTGGGGATGAAATATGTCATTAGGAGATGATAGACATGATATATAAGTAGTATATCGGGTTGCTGAAAATCATCAATGAAGATTTTAATCTGGATTCATTCATTAACCAAGTATGTCACAATGTGAAAGTAAGTGGGATAACATTTAACACACAAACTGATCACGCAAAAGTATTTAGTTCAGTTCACAAGTCTGTTGTGATATTGGGTACTAGTATACTCAAATCCCCTTTGAAAAACGTCTTCACTGAAGTTATTTTCGTTAATTTGACCCTTATCAAACCAAATTTATGTTACTTAGAGCCTTGCATTTGGAATTTGACACTTTCTACCTTTTAGCTTTTTGTGATAACATTGAAAATTGTTTTTTGCACTGTGAAAATATATCTGCCTATGCTTCATAAGGCTTGTCCGGTAATTGGACCACAAAACTACTGAACAAAATGCTATGTTTCTATGATATTGTCAAATGTTTGAGTGTTATACATAAAGCCCCACATCTTATATAACAGTGTGAATAAAGGTGTGCCCTCAATATAAAAACCAAGTACATAGCTTTTGTTAATCTAACGGAGCCGTGTGTTATACACAAAGCGAACTATTCTTTCGCCTTTTACTAAAGAATACCGTGTGTTTGACACTTTAAGCGGCATACGCTTATTTTTGGAGGTGTCCTTCCTTAGAAGGGCCCTACAACTCTAGTTTATATATTTTTATCTATTTATGATGCTCTTATGAAATGGTTCTTTGTTAGTTTAAATCTGATTAAATATTCTGATGTTGTTCTTGTGAAATAGTTCTTTTTCTATTTATGATGTCTTTATGCCAAGTAAAAATGCATAATTTCCTGATGATAGACAACAAAAACATTCTCTCGTGTTAGCAAAATTCTGGTTCTACTCTATATTTTATTTTTCGTGAGCTGAAGAGCGGTATAAAACCTTCTTCCAGGGGAATGTAGATTTGTGAATGGGGCATTTCTACAAACAACTTCCGGGATATGAGGTCTCAAGCTTCAGCCTATGCATAGAGTAATCAAGTGTTATATTCCTCTAAGTTAGAATGTATGTTTTCGGCCGTGTAATAATCCCATTTTTTTTATTAAGTACTTAAAAAAACTATTTATTTACTAAGGAGAATATTAACAAGTGTTCTCGGGTGTAGTATTTTTTTTTTGAATCTTGACACATCTTAAAACGAAAATAGAGAAAAAAATAATTTACATTTTTAGATAACATGACTCATATTATCATTCTCAAGAAGTGATGGTATATACTATATGGCAGAAAATCTTACTTTATCCAACTAAAATCCTTATTAGCACCCATTTTTGTTAAGAAAATTGTTGGTCAGTATGTTTCACGAACCGCTTGCTCCAAACAAACATTTCAATCTCTGGTCGATAAGTCTTTGATTGTTACTGCTACAGACACACGTATGGAAATGAGAAATACTAATGTTGACTAACGAAATAACTTGAAAAGAATATTTGTGACAAATATTCTCATAGCATTATAGCTGGCCAAGTTTGCCAAAGAAAGAATCAGATTTTTTCAGGCACTATTGTTTTCCAAATCCAAGTCCAATCATCCACTTTATGGCCTTGATCCAGAAGCTACCAGTATTTCGACTTAATCGTGTAAGTGCCAATAATTTCCTTCTTCCAAACTATCTCATCACTAATAACATTAGAAGAGACAAGCATTGAATAGAGTAAAAAATATGTTTTAAAATAATGTAAGGAAAGAAGAGTTTGTAATTTGGGATGGGCTCAACCCATTTGAAGAATGCCAACACTTCTCAACACAAGTCCTCATGTTTTCTCTGAACAAGGGACAACTAATATTTCTTTTAGTCCCACATTGATCAAACTTAGAAGCGGCTAGGAGCAACACAATATAAAAATGAAGCCCAATCATTAAATGTATCATACCTTTCTCGGCATTTTGGCTAATATCAAGTGTAGTATCTGTTCTTATCAGTTTAATATTTGATATGTGGGTCAATGGTCTATATGATATTAAATTATTTTTTTAAAGGGGAGAGGCTATTACAATAGCTTATCAGTTTAATAGTTGATATGTGGGTCAATGGTCCATATGATATTAAATTACTTTTTTAAACGGGAGAGGCTATTACAATAGTTTGCTTTGTTGCAATAAAGCTATTGCAATAGCTTACTTTTTTTTATAATAAATCCTTTGTATTTTGTGAAATTTATTTCAAATTTTTTTAATGACCCCGAGTGTTTTTTATTGTTATTTTTGGTTTACTCCATAGCTTAATTATTAAAGTGAAGTGATCTCGTCCAAACAAGTTTAGACTGTTTAGTAACAAGTGATGAAGTGATTGTAGATATGTGACTAACAATTGGTAATAATTGTGTATTTTTAGTGTAAAATACACTAAAAATGTAACTTTTTTTTGGTAAAGGAATTTTAATTTGGCTAGTCATATATATTAAAAATGTCCACTTTCAATAATTAAAAGTCTAAATTCATATTTCTCTCTCTTTATTAAGTTAATTTTAATTATTTTTCAAGACCATACTAATGCAAGCAAGGTTAATGTTAATTTTTACTCTTTGTATGTTAGTTATATATCATGTTTCCAAGCCAGTGGTAATTAAGGCAATCCAGCAAATTAAATTTTGATGAAAATAAATAAAGTATTTCTTTTTTAAGTAAATTATTGCATGCTTGGATTGGTAGTACCTTATAAGCTATAACCTTTTCAAGGCAAATATTGGAGTCTAGAAGATCCCTAATGAATATTTCAAAGAGATGGTGGTTATTTTTGTGCCTTGAAAATCTCAAACAGACACAATTTAGAGTTACTTATACATCATGGTTGTTCATCTCATGCATTGAGCTTTTGTAGTGTAGAAGAATATTATCTTAAAAAAGGTAATAATCCTTAAGTTGTCTCTCTCTTTAGAATAGCTTATTTCCTTAGAAGCTGAGTTAAGCCAACCCTTTTTTTGGAAGTAAACAGAAGGAAAGTGGTTTGGTCCATTTACCCTTTACAACAGATAATTGATGTGTCAAAACTAAATGGTAGGTTAGCTTTTTGAGGTCACAGATTCTTTGTCATAACTGTCTCTCAACCTTGTACCAGAAAATCCTTTACCTTAACTACACTTACTTCTCTTTCACATTTTTTATTCTTCCCTTTTCTTTTCTTCCTTTCTCTTTGGATATTGAGGTACAAGAAAGCAGTAGCTTTTGCTTGAGTTCTATCAACCCATCTTAGGTATGCAAATAACTTCATTGTTATATCAAATGGTTTCATATTTTATGTCATATTGAATTGCAATATAATGCATCTTTATATTTCCCTTGAGTGACACAAAAAGAAGAAATAAGTGTATAGTGGTTTCCATTGCATATTTGTTTTTTTTATTAATTCATCTTTGCAATGTTATTGTTCAAATTTGCATCAAGTATGCTATCAAAAGAGAGATGGAGGACCAGATTTTTTTCAGGTCAAATTATGTATCCACCATTAGAATTTTGTGGTGGATGTGATTTGAACCCTCAACCTCCTTATCACTCCACTTGTTAAGTCTTCCACCCTTACCCTTGCAATTTAGGGATTGCATTGTTTGAAGTTTGAGAAGCATAGAATACAATTTTTTCTTTAGCTGACATGCATATATATATATAAAATATAATATAACTATGGCTATTAGACTATTCCCTATACTAATGATTTGGTAATGTTTTTCCCAAACTCTAAAATTTTAAACCCTAGAATACAATTTATGTACATTTTTTTCAAACTGAAAAATGAGATTTTTTTAGATAAAAATGTGACATTTGGTCCAATATTCCCTAGATAAGTTTGTGATTATCAATTTTAGTTAATTAAATGAGAGATCAAAATAACAGCCAGACAAGTCCAATTTCATGACTTCAATGGTCAAAGAAAAACAGGTGAATCAGGCACTAGACAATTAGGTATAACATGTCTAGAGCTACAAAATCTTAGTCACTTCCTTTTAAAAGAAAAACCATAATTTACTAAGATTCTTGACTTGTTGAGTTAGCAAATGCCAGAGCATTATTGAGGCACATTTTTCAATTTTCATGTAATGTAGTTTCAAATACATGATCCATACTTTGATATGACAGGACACGAAGCAATTTTATTTATCATTCTAAGGCATATAATTTGATATTGTGGGGTCATAATGAGTCATGTAATTATTCTAAGTCTGCATTTGTTTAGAATCTTTAGCCACTTTTATCTTATGTTATGTATCATTCTTATAGTCATGAATATTGCAGGTAAGGTTGTTATTATTATTGTAAAATCTGATTGTGGAAATAATTGATGAGAATGGAGAAGCCATCAATTCATGGTGCAACATCTGATTGTAAACCTATAACAACATTTGTTCACACAAATTCAAGTGCATTCAGGGAAGTAGTACAAAGATTAACAGGTCCATCAGAAACCACATTAGCAGCACCAAAAGAAGGAGATGCAACAAAGGTTGTTGTTCCTAATGTGAAAAGGACAACATCAAAACTTCATGAGAGAAGAAAATATATGAAGCCAAAACTTGAGATAATGAAACCAACTTTTCAATATAAATCAGCATCAAGCCCAGGATCAAAAAATTCTAGCTTTCCTCCAAGCCCAGGATCAGGTAGTTCAAGTGTTCTTCCAAGTCCCACCACCCCTTCAACTATTTTCTCCAAATTAACTCTTCTTGTGGAAGATGAAAACAAAGATGATTCAATAGTACCTGAACTAAACACTGAAGAAGAAGAAAAAGCTATTAGAGAGAGGAGATTTTATTTGCATCCATCACCAAGGTCTAAACAAGGATTCTCAGAACCAGAATTACTAACTTTGTTTCCATTGGCATCTCCAAATGCAAGTAACAATGTATAATTGATATTGAACATCATAAGCTGCTACTAACTTATCTTTTGTATGCTTCAAATTACATATAATACAAATGTACTTTGAAACTGAAATGCATTTTTAATGTATTCCTTCCCTTAATTGTTTACATATTTTTTTTACTAATTTCATATTCCAGTGTTGAAAAAATCTGACTTGGGATACTTGTTAGTATTGTTTATTACTTAAAACAGAAAATGTTTAGAATTAAATCAAATATATTAATGAGAAGCACGCTTTGTTGTACTAGACTAACTGTCTATTGTGAAAATTACTTATATGGTTAGAAAAAGGAAAACAAATCTATTATATATCTAATGGTGAATGAGTTGGGCGAGATGAACTTTCATCTATCATCTTTTAACTATAACTTTCAAGTTAAAATGACAAGCCTAAAATTACAGATTTATCATTGCATAAGAATGAGAAGCTTAAAATGAACTTTGAATATTGAGCAAGTGCACCATAATTAGGGGCTATTTTGTTTGAACTTTAGTTGGCTTCCCTTGCAAACTCAGGAATGCTGAAGAGGTGTTTCCGAGAAGATGAGGTCATGGCGATGGTGCAGTGGTGGTGGTCAGAAGAAGAGAGTATGTCAGTAGTGATTGGGGAAGAGGGGGGGGGGGGGGGGGGGGTGTATAAGTTTTAAAATTATGCAATAGGGACCTAAAATCTGCAAATAAACACATTAAGTGACTAGGTAGTCCAAACCAGGCATGTCATAAACACATCAATGGATGATAACAGCAAAAAACTATCTTTACTCTCATCTATGTCATTCATAAAAATGAGGAAATTGACAATTTTTACCAGTTTCTGCCTGCTGTTATTAATGAATGGTATCTGTCATACAAAATTTCAGAAACAAGCAACATACATGCTTGCCTGTGATCATCCAAAAATGGATAGAAAAACTACTTGATCCTTACTTCTACTCTCTAGGCTATGAACCACACTAGTTCCCTCAAAAAATTCCAAGGTTCATCTGTTTGAAGGTGGATTTGAGACCAGCTACTCTTCCTTCCACTTGTTAACATATCTGAGGAAAGCATTGGCGGGGTTTTGCTGAGGTGGAGCTCGAACACGAGTAGACCTTCGAACCACAGACTCATCCGCTTCAACCTTGTGCGTCAAATCCTTCGATTTCTTCTGAAGCTCTAAGCTGTAAACATACAATGAAAAAAGGAAATAGAGAGTTACTAAAGTGAACCTTGAAGCAGCTTTCAAATTTCACTTTGTTCAAAAAGTTTTTCAAAAACAATGTCTGTTAAATAAATTACTACCAACTATTGCTACTAAAGGAAAAGTACATTCAAACAATAACAAAATCTAAATAATATTTTCTTCCATCGCTCTCTGCATTTACCCTTAGAGTTAATTCTCCTCTCCACCATTTTTATCTCAATTACACATATGTACATGTTTCACATACTAGTACTAAGTAAGTTTGTGTCACTCTATAAGAAAAGAAACAACAATGACTGCAACTCTGCAAGTAAGTTATTTATAGTATCATGGTAACTTCATATTTATAGTACATCATATTTCACTTCAGCCATAGCTAACAACTCCAGAATACTGATTAACCCAACTTACCTCCTTTTGCTAAACCAGCTTCATATATAACTTCCTTTGATTTCACATAGTGCATGAAAGGAAGGGAAAAAAGGTATGAAGGTATTCCACCACGCATGTCATACATCAAAAAGCAATTCTAACTCACCATATACTATTATAACATTTTCCCAATTGGTTTTGTAGTGCCCTTTCCCGCTCACCCTTGCAATTCAGTGAACCCATCAATGCATCAACCTATTGAAGCATGCCAAACAGAAAATTAGAAAACTATATGCAGAAAATGTAAATATAGCATTAGCATGTCTACATACTAGTACCTCTTCCTTGCTGCCGTAGTATCCCCACTCCTTGGAATCAGAACTTTCAACAAATATCCTCCAATCACGGGGGAACCACCAATACCTATTATAATCTCTGTCCTTGCCTAATGGGCTTCTACTAATTAATCGTTTCTCCATCTCCCACTCATAATATGCTCTCTGTTATAAGAAACAATGTCAATAACAATCAATAAAAAAAACAGGAACAATTTAAGCAGGGAGATAGGAATCACCCTCTG